TTAAGTGGAGAGCAAATGTTTTGAGAATGATGAGGGCAATGAATGTACAAATGTGCTTTACACAAGTGATGTATGTATGGATTGTGATGTGTTCTATGAGCCCCTAATAAAACAATTAAAAAAAAAAAGAGCACCTGGCCCTTCTGTTTCTTTTCTGCCTTCCACTTGGTTGTGCTGCAGACTGCGGTCCCTTTGACCTCAGGCTACCATGTGTGGGCGTGCAGTTCCGAGGTTGCCTGTGTTCAGTGACTAAAACTTCTGCTGTCCCTTATGAAACTCACTTGGATCACAAACCAAGCTTGTGTATGAATTCTTTCCTGGGTGAAGTAAAGAAGCAAGGTATTTCCCACCGAGAAACATAACATTTGTGGTGCCGTGACTCAGATATAACCTGTGTACTACACTAAGGTAATCCTGGGAATGGGGACACAGTTCCCTGGCACACAGACTCTTGGTGCTTCCAGACTCTCACCTCACCACTCTTGAGAGACTGGGAACTGGGTGGCTTGGTCAAACTTACACTGCAAGGGACCCAGTTTGAAAATACGCCGGCCTCCTAGAGGGAAGCGGAATCTTCTCTTGTGGGAAACAGAAGGGTTTCTCTCAAGTTGTCTCCCCAAAATATATGCCAGACTTAGCTGCTTGAGAATGACTGTACACTTGGAGGTCATCAGGAGTGGATTGGGGGTCATTCTCCCTGAGAGTTAACAGCTGTCTAGGCCAAGCAGACACCACTGTTTATCCAACAAGTAGAGCCCACTCCCTTCTGATAAGGATAGTACTTGACCTTGCTTGGGATTATAATGATCTGAAGGATGGGTGGGCATGGGAACATTTTCTGGTGTGTATCACAAGTGGACTCGGGTCAGGTAGGTAAAAAGCTCTTAATTATGCCCAAGTGACAGCTATAGAGCGGCTAAAAGAGGCCCCCAGGACTCACACTGCTATAGACATAGATTCCTACAAAGGCTAAGTCTTACTCAGGGACACATTTCTCACACAGGCTGCATCAAACTTTCAGAAAAAGTCCAGAAGGTAGTGCTGAAGCCTGAAGGAGTTACCCTCAGAGATGGCCACTAGTGCGAACGCCACCTTTTACAACAGGGAACAGGACGGGGAGGTGCAGGCTCAGGAGGAGGACATCGGACATGCCCAGGTACTGTCTGCATTTGCCAACCACTTCCCATCAACCACCTCCCAGGTTTCCCAGACTTGTGAACAAAGTGCCAGGTGCTATGTGTGTCAGGGGCCGGTCCAGTGAGCACCGAACTGCCCTAACTGGAATAGGCCCCTTGAGGGACATGCCACCACTGCAAACAAACTGGGCTGCTCTTATCCTATGGCAAATAACCAGGAGGGAAGGCACCTGCAGGCCAGTGGTTATCTGCTAATTGAAGATTGGTCTGGCCTGGCCAGCAAAGGAGCACGAGACAACTGTTACAGACTGGCTAATCTCTTCCTTGTTACCCTTCTGTAAGGGAATGTCAAATTGTCAGATGGGCTTTGGGTCTTCACTCTGCATTCCCCCTCATTCACATCAATGTGATTTTTTTGTCCTGGGTCTTTGATGCACCTCGTGATCACACAACCTGATGTGCTTCTTCCATGTGGGATTTGTTTTTTCTCAGCTAGATGGCCACTCTATCTTCAAGCGTTTAAGACCCCAGATGCTCTTATCTTTTAATAGCATGGCTTTCTTCACCATATTTGTTTATGCACTCATTTTGTCTTCAGCAATTGTGTCAGGGAAAGTAACCCACATCTTATATTTTAAATACCAAAATGTTGTAAATAATAATAAAGACACATAAACTCCGTATCTTTTGAGATTTTTTTACATTTAATTCATTCCTCCATGTATTTTATGGTATCTTATCTGTACTTGAGCAGTATACAGGGTTCTCTCTCAGTAGCAATGGTACATAATAATCGGACGAAACTAGAGTGAAAAAGTCTGATAAAATCAGGCTCCTTTATAAAACAAAGGTATCAAAATGTGATGCTATTGTTTCTCAGCATATCCTTACATTTGTATGTATGCATACATATGTATGTATGTATATAAATGTATACACATCTATACATTTCTACAGGCCATGTTTACCGCTCTAACCTTGCCTGCAAAGAATTCCATGCTGTTTTTTTCCCATGCTTTGTATAGGGTGAAGATTTCCTAGGAATTCTTGAAATTCTCTAGGACAGCCCTTGCTACTAGAATGAGCAGGTTGTATCAGCATGATGGAAAAAACATACCTTGTTGTACTTGCCTAGCCTTTTTCTTGACAATAGTTTTCAATTTTTTGAAAATGTCACAATCACCATGTCCTTCAAGAAAATTTATCAAGTACTAGAACTGATTGTGGTAATGTACATGTAACTTTTCTATACAACTGAATTATGGAAGTGTATATGAGGGGGTACCCCCCAAAACCTGGAATTTCACTAGGTAGAGTGGAGCTTTCATAGTATATATTTTCCCCAGCTGGGCAAGCATGGAGCAACTCGCTTTGAGTTAGTGCATCCAGTGGCATCACCTGGGAAGGTACTCTGGTCACAGTGAATTTTTTCATAAAAGCAGTTTTACTCGAACCTCGTTTTTTGAAGGCCAATTTAAGAGAACAGCATGAGACTGTGAAATTGTTTCCTGTTTTGAAAAATTCCACAGAAACTGTTGTGATGTTGAACAGTTTACAGGAAAAGTCCTATGGGAAAAATACAAGTGTATGAGTGTTTTTTTTGTTTTAAAGGTGAAATGTTGATTGATGACAAACCTCATACATTCTGGATGTCCAAAAGGATGAAATTGTTGACTCATAGTGCATTTGGAGTTCGTTCCACCAGGTCAGACTTTTTGGTTGGAGGTTCTGAAAAGATTGCTTAACAGTGTGCGACAAAAGGTCTGATTTGTGGCAGACGGATTAGTTTTGTCACCACAATGCAACAGCATGCCTCTCTTGTCCCACACCTGGCTCAACTGACCTTGCTCTATATGACTTTTTTTTGTTTCAATGAATGAAGAGGAACAAGAAAGGATAATTTGAGGTTGTAGAAAAGGAGGGGGGAAAAAACAAAACAAAGGAGGTACTGTCAGCCATCCAAAGAGATGTTTGAATAATGTTTCCAAGAATAGAATCGGAGATTTACCAAATGTATTCACTGCAATGGAGTGTACTTTGAAGGTGATAAGGTTTTGAAAATAAAATTCCATTTGGGGGGCGGGGTACACCCGAGTATGTGGATTTTATCTCAATAAAACTATTGGTTAAAAAAAAAAAGATTACATTGAGATGACCCTCCCTTGGATTCCCCAAAACACTGTTGCCACAACCTTCTGAGTTGGCCTGCCTTGAATTTAATCAGTTCAGCAGATCCCTAAGAAGCTAACTTGGGGTGTTTTTTTTTTAAGCACCCTAAGGATACTAAGGAAGTATATTACTGCGACTTGTCTGCTGCCAACTGCTAATGGCAGACAAGTCCGAACCCCTTTGGTTTTGGATAAAGCTAAACATACAGTTGAAATACTCTTTGGGCCTCAGTGGAAATAATTTTTGACTCACCTTTCTGAAACACTAAAGGATACAAATACAGACACATGAGGAAAGTGTGAGGGATCCCACTAAAGCTTCCATATTCCAAAGAGGATGTGGTACCCTCCAATAAGCAGATGCTAACCCTCTCCAACTCCTGGCTCTGAATCCTCGTCTTTCAAAGCTTTTACTGTCCTTACTAAGTGGCCAGGATAAATTACAATATGCCTCCTGTGGCTGATTATCCTGCCCCAGATGATTGCTTCTGTCCTCAGGGCTTTTTAAGACGGAGAACAAAAGATCACATTACTTTCTGCACCAGTATACAAAACACAATCTGCTTCCTGACTGGATAAATTCGATTATCTTTAGCAACCAGTGGTTGGTTTCAATACTATGCTTGAACAGCCAGAGCCTAAAAGAATTATAGACAAAGCTGTCATTCAATTGAAGGGTAAGGTTTAATGGAATGTGTCCATTAAAATTTACATAGGAACTTCAGAACTAGTATCCTATTACCTAAAATATACTCTCAAGTCCATGAAGATAAACTGCATCTTTTGAAACATAAAAAAAACTTTTCTTATCCAAGCTTGATAGATTTAGCATTGCAGTCGACAAACACAAAATAGTGTGTGTGTGTGGGGGGGGGAATTGATTTTCTTGGGTGTTCTGAAAATAGTTGTATGTGGTAACAAACAAGCATCACTGAAAGAATTTGCAAGTACTCCTAGTTGTCAGCCCTACCCAAGAAAAAATCTTGTACTGTTCTGGTCAATGTTCATATACTAGCTTGTTTCATGGGGAAGGGTTAAATAAGCCCAAGCATATATATAGAAGAATTCAATTTATGTTAAGACCGGTATCAGAAATTAGAAAGGGAAAAGTAAGTGAGTAGACATTGCTGACCAGATAAAAAAAAATTGGATCCTTAATTATAAATGTTTCTCAAATTTCAAAGAAAATAATCTAGAAGATGAAAGAGTTAATTTAATATACTTTTATTTCAACATTTCTTATATTTGTTAAAAATATATACTCTTATTTTATAGTTCTCACACAATAAAAGCTAAAACATTTTACAAATTAAATTAAAAATTATAAAACCAATAAAATGCCAGTTAATCAACTTAATGTAACAAACGTTTCGCTCAAAAAAAAAAAAAAAAAGAAATCAGAAGTATTTGGTTTAACAGCAAAAAGCTATGCTTTTAACATCCCATTGTGTTCCTAAATGGTTTCTGAATTTTTACCATTTGAATAACAAAGAGAGAATCCTTGTTCACATTGGTATAATGATAAATCAAGCCTTTCTGGCCTCTCCTCTAAAGTTTTCACAGCAGAAAATTAACCTAACCTGTCAATTGTCAGTCCTCAAATAGCAATTTTCAAGGTGTGAATTGATAAAAGTAAAATAATGATTTTACTGAAATCTGCCTTAAGTCCAATTAAGCCTAGAATCTGAAACATTCTTTACTATCTATTTGCTATTATACTTATTGCTAATGAACTATGAAAAGTTATTCTGTATAAGAGCCTCACAGCACAATATTGTATTGACTGTTAGATACAGGGTTGGGTTTCTTGTTTGTTTTTAAAGTAAATGTAAGACAGTCATGTCGAAAACCAAATCAGACACTGCCATGTCAAATACCAAATCAGGTATAGTAGATGTTTAACAGTAGCACATCACAATTTTTTCTCATCTTTACACAATTTCTGTCCTACAGCTTCCACTTTTATTTTTTAAATCAGATTTTAATTTTGAATACTTAACACTATTATTGATGTGCATTTCACTTTCTTCATGTTTACTAAGAATATGTGATAAGTGCTGCCAATCCTTACACCCATTCTCATTCTTCAGTTGATTTTTTCCTTCCCCAAAGAGTTTGCAATATAGACAAAACACGGAATCTTTTGAGGTAGAATAAAGTAACCAGGATCTAGTGGCTTTTTCACCATTTGGCAGAATTCGTGTATAGTATGTTTCTGAAAACTTCCTTCCTGTATTGTCTTTTGGGAAGTTGAAATTTCTCACTTGAGGAGGATCATGTTCAACAAGAGCATCCCATTGTTTCGTATTCAAAATCCGGGGCCATGTACCTGGATCTGTAGAAAGTACATCTGGCACAGCTAAATCTTCTGATTTTTTCTCTTCCATTTGCTCTTGAAATTTACCATCTATGGCTGACACAGAAGAAGGTGAATTCCCACCCTTATTGATGAGCGATGGGCCTGTGTTACCTTCTACTGAAACCTGTAGCTCTGCTATCTTTTCCTTTTCTCTTGGTGTTCCATCGATTTTGTCCAAAAGTGTATTCAATGATCCACATAGTATTCTTTCTTTTTTTTCTCTAACAGCAGTTCTTTTTCTGTTTTCTGGTGCTGATACTTTTTTTGATTTTATTTCTATTGTCTAGGAGAAAAATAGGACAAATTACTACTTCATCCTATCAGTGTTAACATTCAAATATCTGATAATCATATTAAAAGATGCTCAACAGTATCAGTCACCTGGGAAACGCAATCAAAACCCAAATTACAGAGTACTCTCCTCACTAGAATGACCAAAAAGATACATAAGCAAGTGTTGACAAAGATGTGGTGAAATTAGCAGGGTTTTAAACCAGTTTGAACCACTCAGCCGTGTCTAAAAAAGTGAAACCCAAACAGACTCAAACTTTACAAATTCCAGTGAGCCAGAATGTAAGCAAAGGGGAAACTCTGGGCTCGGCCCTAGAAGGGATCATTCAGAGGAGGTGTGAGCCCTTCCTGGAGCTTGCCGTGGCAGACTGGACTGCCGCCAGGACTAAGGAGAGCACCACACATCGCGAGCAGTCACTGGCCATCTTCGCTCAACTCCATTGGGGGAGTGGGAATAAGAGATATGGTTACTGTGCAATTCATAAACTGCCTTTGTCTTCTAAGAGGGAAATTAAGTTTCTACCAGGGATGAGCTTATAATTTTCCCATTCCAGCTCACTGAAATTTAAAAAAAAAAAAAATTTTTTTTAAAAATCAGATCTGTTCCATTTTCACTTCCTCAGCCATGATTGAACCTAGAAGAACATACTGGAAGCCCTATTGCGCTGGTGGGAAGGGAAGATGGTGCAGCTGCTATGGAAAACAGCTGTTTCTCAAAAGTCAACCATATGATCCCTAGTAATTCCACTCCCTGGCATACATGCCCAGGAGAAACAACACTCCAAAAAAAGTCCACACAAAAACATGTACATAAATGTTTGAAGACTATTTTTAGCCATAGCTAGAGGTATGTATGGACTATACAAACGGACATTAGTTTTCCCTGTGTAATTTCAGTCATTGATCTGAAACTAAGGAGAGAAATATGAGCTTCTCTGGCAGAACAAAAAGCTCAATTAAAAAAATAATTAAAAATTTAATTAAAAGAGAATAAAAGCAATTCAACATTTGATCATGTATACTATTTTCTTATTTTTTCTGTCTACAGAAAAAAAGGCTAAGCAGTAAACTTCAAGTTTTTCTACAAACACTAGTTGAATTACATGAAATCACCACTAGAATTTATACTTACAGTCTCAGTGAATAGACAACCCAAGTCATGCTTACTCCTTTGAGATTTAGCTCCCAATAGAAAGCAATTTTATGAAAATGAATACTGAGATCCAGGGCAGCATAGTCTTCAACACTGTCTGAGGTTTTCCTGGCTACGTTAAGGCATACTATTGGCAACTTCAACCAGTGACATGCTGGGGAAAAGCCCTGTACTTGTACACTAGAAAGAAACATCCTCCGTATATTTGACAACTGTTTATGAGTCCTTTTTCATCATGAAATATGCATGGTAGAATTAATACACTTAATTCTTCGAGATCATGGTGGGGATCATTAGATAAAAAAAAATTTTTTTTTAAATTCTGGATATGTTGGTGACTGCCTATCCTGTCTATATTTCCTTATTTTTAGTTCTCATTTTTACAGCAGTAAACAAATATACCATTGATATATTACCTTGGTAAATATACCAGGGTTACAGAAGTATAACCATACCACTTTTGTGTAGGCCTTATTTCTAAGTAATAAGCATTATATTTGTTTATGAACTCAATGCCCTTAGCAAAATTTCATTGTCTAAGAAGTCAAATCACTCTCCTTCCTTGCCCAGAAGTCTTTGAAAAGATAACTTTAGCAAAGTACCTAAAAAATGGGGGTTAAGAATGCTCTTTGATTTTACATTTAGGATACATCTGGAATTAATTTTGTGTATGGAATGAGATGGGAGTGCAGACTCATTTATTTCCATAAAACCAAAAAATTAGCCCAGCATTATGTGTTAAAAATACCTTGATTTCCCCATCAAATTACCTTACCACTTAATTCTAGAATTGGTTATATATGTTTGGTTCCATTTGGACTGGCTATCCTAGTCCACTCATGTATCTATCCTTACAGCCTATGACAGTGCCTTAATTACTCTAGCTCTCTAGGAACTGACTTGATGGCAGAGGGTATGGTTTTTACTTATAGTCACCTGGAGATCAAGTAGCAATAATCTTTTAACCATACTTCATATCACACAAAAGAACTCAAAATAGATCAAATAAAAACTAAAACTAAAAAAAAAAAAAGTACAAGAAAATATAGGAAAATAGCTGCATAACCTAGATAGAGATTTCTTAGCTAGAACACAAAAAATTATTAATTAGAAAACAAACAAATGATAAATTTAGACTTATTCAAACATTTAAGATAAATCATAATTTGAGAGAAAAATCTTCCAAAAAAAGAGCTGGGCAGTTTCTTATAAAGTTAACTAAGTCCCTACCCTATGACTCAGTCATCGAACTCTTGAGAAATTAAAAAACTTAGGTATAGTACAAACACAAACATTAGCAGCTGCAACAGTCCAGCATACGCAACTCCAGGTGGGTAAGCTGTGGCATACTCCTACAGTAGGATGACCACTAAGCCACAGAAGAAACCAACTATAGGGATGAACGAGTCTGAAAAACGCATGCTAACAAGAACATTTAAATAAATAAACAAACGAACAAAACACATGCTAAACAAGAAAAGCCAGACAGAATACAAATACTTTTATAAATTGAAAAAATAAACACACATCTAAGTTCCATGTGTATGTAGTTCAGGAATAGGCAAAACTAATTTTCTGGCACAGATATCAGAATGTGGTTTCCAGTAAAATTGCAGAGGCAAATTCAGGAGCATACAATGGGGTATTGGAAACGTTCTAGGTTTTTATTATTATTATCAATAAATCATTTTATTTGGGGCTCTTCCAGCTCTTATAACAATCCATACATCAATTGTATCAAGCACATTTGTACATATGTTGCCTTCATCATTTTCAAAACATTTTCTGTTTGGGTCTATATTTGGGGTGGGGTAGTGGTTACTTATGAATTCAAAATTTTCACTAGCATTTGGGCATTGTATGCAAATTATATGCAAATAGTGCCTGAGTAAATGTTTTGGGGGAAAATATTCCTACATAAGAATTTTATCCTACAACAGTAAGATATTCAAACCCAAGATAATTTAACACAATTCCTAAAAATCTGATTCCATCTAAATCTCAAGAGAATTTGAAAGAAAAATTACTCTGTAGTAAGTTCTGTAACAATATTTTGAATAAGCTAATTTATAATAACCAATATACAGTCATGCGTCACTTAACATCCATGTAATGTTTTGTGAAACAGGACATTACGTGATTTGGACGTTGTGCAAACACCCTGTCATATACTTAGTAAAGTTATATGAGATACTGTATTGACTAAATAACCGAGAAACTGACTGTATACCTACAGCAGTGTGTTTCAGGTAATGTATTTGGCAAGGCAACATGAGTTAAGTAGGCTAGTACTGTATATAACACCGCATACATTAAAAACGTAAAATATACACTACTATATACAGACTCACCACTCACTTTCACATTATGCAGCGAAAACCGTTGTTTGAAGCGCATGAACCACCCAGAGCTAGCACTAAACTCGATATTGTAGTCTGGTCCTGCTTTTTCTTTAAGCATCTCGAACAAGCTTCGCGCTTTAGCAGTGATGGCCGATGTGCTGAGAGGGATTCGCTTTAGTGCTTGGTCCTCTATCCACGCCATCAGCAATGTCTCCATATCTGAGATAGGGCCCTCTCGCATTTTCGTTAGCCTTGTAGCTTTCAGTGGAGCTGATCCTTTAACAGCTCGGAGAATCTTTTCTTTGTTTTTGAGGATCGTTGTGATTGTTGAGTGAGACATGCCTAAATCACGAGCAACAGCATTCACTGATTTTCCACCTTCATGCAGTTTAATAACTTTCTGCTTCACTTCCAGATCAATACTTCTCCTTTGCCTCTTGCTGCTGCTATCACTAGCACTGGTTTTGCTGTGTTTGCGAGCCACGATGCACTTCACGGTAATATTTTCGAAAGAAAATTAAACAGAGAGATAACACTACAACACTCAAGAGACACGCAATACACAAGGCTGGATGCTTCTGCCTAAGAGTCGAAGCATACAATGCAATATGGTAAACGGTTTGTTTGTTAAGTAGGGAAAGCCCACATTAATGATAGAAAGTACAGTACATATACAAGCCAGTAACATAGGCATTTATTACCACTACCAAGGCTTATGTATTATAAGTTACATATGTACTGTACCGTTCTATACCTGGTACTGCAATCACTTTGTACATGAGACATGATACACATGTTGCATGCAGGAAGCTGTCACATTCGCTACGTCCAGTTACATCTGCTACGTCCATTTACATCCGCTACATCCGATTCTCTGATTGGGATTTCTCAACTGTATAGTAACCTTATGGGGCCACGGACGTTTATGCAGGCGGACGTTGCCTGGACATTATGCGGCGCATGACTGTATTTTAATGTTCACTTAAGATTGGGGCAGCTCAATGGAAAAAAGTGACAAAGATAAAACTAGACAAGATTCTGAGATAAATCTGGTTAATAAAAGTCAAATAGATGAAGCTATCATACACAATTGAAAGCTTATTAAAAAGAATTACCTGTTTATATTCGCTAATACAGTTTTGGCAGCAAAATCTTTTCTGTTGGCCTTCAATCATCAGGACATTGTTTCCAGCACTTTTACTGGGCATGTACTCGCCACACTGTTCACAACAGTTCATTGTCAGACCATTGGCCAGTCTGTACTTATTAAAGCAATGGTTACTACAAAGTTTATGAGTTACATTATTAATGCCAACTTCATGGCGAATCTAAAAGAAAGAACAGAATTTATTCAATACAATATTTTCTTCAAAAGTAACAAAAGACCTATTCATTTCGCAGTAAGAGCTATCCATAGAGACTTTTAAAAGTATATTTTTCCCCAGTCCCTAGAGGGGCTAGGAGAAGCTATACTACCCATCTTAGGATGTCTGTGCATAAATAAGTAAGGTGTGCCTCATTTTTGCACAGCTCCACAGTAAGTGAAGTAAGTGGGTGTCCTAGATTTGCATGGCTGGTGCAGTGAATGAAATGTTGGGCTGCTAACTGCAAGGCTGGCAGTTCAAACCCATTAGGTACTCTGCAGGAGAATGATTTGCCAAAAAGATTTACAGTCTCAGAAACCCTACAGCGCAGTTCTAGTCTATCCTTGAATAAGTAAGTAAGTATTGACTAGACAGCAAGGGTCTGGTAGCCAGAACAAAACTTAGTCGTAAGAACTAGGAAAAAAGGGGTATGAATGTTTGCTGTTTCAGCAACTGAAAAGGTTAAAGTATGACCTAAGTAAGTGTGGAATTATCAATATATATCACTCTACTTGTTCACCATACTCTCAATCTATATACTGAAACCACATTTTTGTTTAGTATTACTATGAATGAAATTGTTCATGAGTACACCTGACACCATAGAAACAAATGAACACTTTCTATACTATACAAACAGGATATTTGTTTTTAAATGTTTTAACATATCCTTATTGTTCCCTTAAACTTCCTAAATACGTATTTAGATATGTGCTTATAGATGGCAGAGCATATATGGCATTTAAAATTAACATGATCCCTGTTAGCCTCCATAACCTAAGTAAGGCTTAAAATACAGACCTCTGTTAGTTTATTACAGACTGTGCATCTTGATTTATTCAGCACTCTTTTTCTAAGACTCTGTGTGTCTTCACAGGGAGAGAACAAAAGCGTACTATACAAGTCGTGAGAAGATGTCCTTGGATCACCTTGACCACCAACAGTGGCCTTTTCTGTAGGTGCATCTCTAAAACGGAAGGGACACAAACACAACATGCAAACATTCCATTGTCACAGAAGTTTAATAAATGACTGATAACTGTCATTTTCAATTTTTCATGACTTAGTACGAATCAACTCTATTTCTGGATACTGAAAGGTTGACTTTTTGTCTTGGTTGCTCAGACTTCCTAAGTACTAGGGAAACAATACTGCAAGGGAGAGAGCATTTTGTAGGGCCCTGCCACATTCAAAATGGCTGCCAACAGTTTGGCAGAAGGTGGGGCTGCAGGTCAGCACAAGACAAAAAGCAGTGATAGTGAATGGGTCAATTTATTCTCATATTTACTCTATTTTCCTGCAAGGAATTAAGTACAGTTCTTGTGACTCCACAGCTTTTGACACACTCTAGGATACTCGAGTTCAATAAACTTGAAGATAGCCCAACCAACAATTTTACCAGTTCTCTATTTACATTCAGAACATTAATGCAGGCAACATTCAACTACATGGAGTGAAGTGGAAAGCTCTATCTTACTTTTTGCACAAGCGCTTCTTTGGAGCACGCTTACGAGAGAAGGAAGAAAGGCAGGTAGTGGAACAAAAGAGGTGAGCTGATCCTTTCCGTTGATAAGCTGTCTGTCCCTTCTGTAAAGGTTTTCTGCAGTTAGCACAAGTGATTTTAGCTGGTTTAGTAAGTTGCTGTTGGAAAGGAGGCTGGAAAATCTGCTTAGGAAGCAAGGCCACTGGTGATAGAGAATCCACCCCTGGTTGTTTCTGATTACGGGGAAATGATGCTGACTGGGAGATCCAAGAATCTTAAAGTAAAACACAAGAAAAGGTCATGGAATAAATCCAAACTCACATCAGAAAAATACTCTGAACTTTCATTTTTGCACACTTGCACTTGCTCAGGGAGCATCAGAAAAGCTAATAAGGATATGAAACCCTGTTGACAACCCCAGGGGGACTACCAACTTTGTGTCCCAAGTGCCTGGCACTTTACTGCACCAACAATGTAGTAGTGGCCCCAACTTGTAAGTAGTCATTCACGCTTAAGCCGGACTTCCCAGGTCAAGTCGTACTTCACCAGATTGTGTAAAGTACATTAAACTCTGTGTCTTGATTTTCTTATCTATAATCTGGGTTTTCTTATGTATATAATTAAAGGCTGGCTATCCATAACTCATAAGCATTGTGATATATGTATCTAATTTCTTCAGTGTTCATTCACCAAATTATAAAAAACAAAATTTAAAAAAACGGGTAGTGTTTTAATTTTTTAGTCATTTTATTGGGGCTCATACAACTCATCACAATCATACATGCATCCATTGTATGCAAGCACATTTGTTGCCCTCATCATTCTCAAAACATTTGCTTTCTACTTAAGCCTTGGTATCAGCTCCTCCTTTTTCCCCCTCCCTCCTCCCTCAGGAATCCTGGATAATTTATAGATTATTATTTTGTCATATCTTACACTGTCCGATGTTTCCCTTCACCCACTTCCCTGTTGTCCGTCCCCCAGGGAGGAGGTTATGAACACTCACTCATGTATCTGAGTTGATTCTATAAAGTAAATTACAAATAAATTTTCTTTTATATACTTTTCCATCTCTTGGTCTTTCTGGGACCTCTATCACATGCCATTTTACCAAGCCTTGCAGGATCTTACAGCTTGCTAAGTAAACATCCATTCATCATGCTCCCACACAAGAGATAACATCATTTGAGGGTTGGGTGGTAAATAGTAATAAAAGCATTTGACATTTTAATAATCTTCATATATAGTACAGTAACATTCAGTATGTCCATCATTTTGTTCAACTATCACCATTAACTGTCCAACATAATTTTAGGACATGTTTCTTTTTACTTATTTTATTATTATTATTTTTAATCATTTTATTAGGGGCTCATACAACTCTTATCACAATCCATACATACATCAATTGTGTAAAGC